AACCAGGCTTCGCCGAAAGACAACTCTCTGGCACGGTTTTAACCGCGGAGAAGCTACGCTTTTCCTGAGCATGAAATATCCGATACTCGCGATATGTTGTGAAATGTGAAATATATTTTTAAGTTAGTTAAGGGCCTGTCAGCGCCAACGCTTGACACGTTAAAATGCAGAGATACATGAGCGAGGATTCGAACCTCGCACAGGATTTTGCGCAGATTGGCATCGATTCCGTGATCGATTTAGAGTTAGCTATTCACCGGCAAGTTGAGTTGCCAGAGCTCAATTCCGTTTTTCCCTTGCCCATCCCGCCCGGAAGTCAATTGGCTCAAAGGCTTCAGGCAGAACAAGTCCGAGGACGTACATCGTATATCCTACTCCCAGGCTATAGCTAGCTCAGCTCGGATCCACCGCGCTAAGTCTTTGTGTACTGCTGTCTCAGGGACTCTGTCCCTCCACACACTTGTTCGATCGCTGCGCACAGTGCTTCCAGTGCATGAACCCAAAACCTCTATACAGGCTTCAAGAATCCCGCTGTGAATGCACCAAGTCTATCGAGGTGCAACCAGCGAAAGGTCGCTTATCGACTCATATCAGCCTTCAGGGATTGGATTCTAAGCCAGACCCGCGATAAGTCCCGACTCCAGTGTTCGGGCTGCGGGTTTAGAGGTTTAAGGTTTAGTGCTCGGTGCACTCCTATCACCTCTCGGCTTCTCTCACTCTCTTCCCACGGTTCACGAGATCCGAGCGTTTGGTAGATTTGTATTTTATTACTAGTGTTTTTCATATCGCTTTATTTTCGGCTGTATGCAGATACTCGGCTGATGATATGAAGAGGATAGTTAAGCTCGCTAATTTGCTGGGCATAAAAGTTATTCCAGAAATTGACGTTCCTGCTCATACGACTAGTTGGACGAGAGGGTGAGTACTTTTTTCATGTCTGTGGCGTTTTCTCATTTCAATGGAGTTTCATCCTAGTGATGTGAAAATTATATTTCACGACTACTGCATATCACGTTTTTCACAAAGTATTGCGCCACTTCACGTAAAACGGGTCGTGAAACTCCAATTTTGGAGAAATTTATGTTTGTTTTCTGCGGTTGCTTAATTCTGGTGGAAGTTTACACAGCGACCCATCTGGCTTCGAGAAATAACATTCCTTAGGATTTGATGACGATGGTGAAAATGTCATTAATTTGATGACATTTACACGGGAAAGTGATTGAAGAATATGGGAAATTCAAAATGAGTTTCCCCGACAACATTGACGATTTCCTCTATGTACAGAAGCCAATGAGAATTTTCCGGAATTTTCTCGCGATTTTCATGTTGCAGTAAACCATGTATATTTCCCCCAGTGCTGGTCGAAGTGAGTGAATTTACTAGGAGGATCATCCGGAAAAAATAAATTTGTCGAAAATTTTTCAAATTTTTACTTTTTTGATGCAAAAAATGTTAATGAATTTATAAAATCTTACATAATTTTTTGGGGTATCAGCGTTGCGTGTGTTGTAGGTATCCATGGTTGACAGGAGATGCTAAATTCTGGATGGACCCTATAAGAAAGGAAACGAGGAATATGGTTGTTGATGTTGTGTCTAAGGTTGTGGACATATTCTACAGTGGAAAAGGAAAAATTAATAATGGTAGACAACAAAATTTTTGGAAAATTTAGACTATATCAGTGTGAAAATATGCACTGTTAATTCAACAATTAAGATTTCTGGAGATTAGAGAGTGGGAAAAACTCATTTAAGAGGATAGTGTGGGGACAAGCTTTGTGTCACAATGATTCTTTCGTTGAATCTAGTTTGTGGGAATATACGCACCGTTGAGCTGAGGGGTTTTCGGAACTGCACTAGAGTTTCACAACCCGTTTTACGTGAAGTGGCGTCGTAAAATTCGATGAAAAACGCGATATTCGCGGTGATATGCAGTATGAATTATATTAATCACACTGCAAGGGTGAAACTCCATTGTCATCAACACATGTAATTCACCATGTGCAGATTTTCCCGACTAGTCTTGGTATTCGCTGCTGTTATCTCAAAATTTTCGTGCAATTTTCAATTACGGATTAATTTTCCGCTTGAATTCTGATTTTTCCCTGAAATTTCATTTTTCCGTTAAAATTTTTCCTGGTCAAATTTCCAGGTTTTCCGTGAAATGTCTACTCTTTCTCGTAAAATTTTCTAGTTTTCCGTGTTTAACTTTTCCTGGTAAAATTTTCAAGTTTTCCTGGTAGAATTTTAACTTTTCCTGGTGATATTTCCGAGTTTTCCGCGAAATTTATATATTTTTAGGAAAAAAAGTGGTACATCTCGGTGGAGATGAGATATGGAACGCCTGGGATACGCCAGCTCTCGAGGAGTGGACGCGAAAAAATGGGTGAAAAACGAATCTGGTTCATATCAAAATGTGAAATTCCTTTTTCAGGAGATTCCATAATCGCACTGATTTGGTAGATTACTGGATTGCCAATACCATCGCTGGAATAAAGGAAAAAACTGGTAAGAAGAAAATTAATTTTTGAGAATTTTTTTGGGGGCGTTTTCACCAGTGTTGAAGTAGGAATATATGTTCGCTTTCCCCATTAGCTGAGCTCAGAAGAGCTTATATATAAATTTGGGTAGAAGTGTAATACAGAAACCAATAAGAATTCCCTCTCAGAATTTTAATATTATCACAAACTGTTACTACTACTTCCCATCAGTGTTGGAGTAGTAGGCATATATGTAATCGCTTTCCTCATCAGCTGCTGAGCTCAGAAGAGTTTATATATGAATTTGGGTAGAAGTGTAATACAGAAACCAATAAGAATTTCCTCTCAGAATTTTAATATTATCACAAACTGTTACTACTACTTCCCATCAGTGTTGGAGTAGTAGGAATATATGTAATCGCTTTCCTCATCAGCTGCTGAGCTCAGAAGAGCTTATATATGAATTTGGGTAGAAGTGTAATACAGAAACCAATAGAGAGTAGACAATTTTAAAGGCTAAGACTGATTCCTCGAGAGCTGATGTGCATCGATGCGAGTCTAAGCCGTGTTGTTGTCGTAGGCGTTGGTCTTCAGATTTACACACACACTGGTTTTGAATTGTAGGTGCTGAAGTTTATCTATGGAATGATTTTTTGGACCAGCACACGACGCAAGCTGATGTGATAGATGCCTGGCAGATTTGGCTCTATGATATACCAAAAACGCTCAAAGTGAGAGAATATGCATATGATCGAAGACTATGGAGTTTTACGTAAAGTGGTGAAAAACGCGATATTCGTGGTGATATACAGTAGTCGTGAAATATGTTTTTCACTTTACTGGTTTTCATATCTCTAGGGTGAAACTCCAATATGAAAACTTTGAGGAAATTTGGGGTTCTTGTTCATTTCTAGCGGAGTTTATATATGAACTTTCTTGGAGAAAACTCCTGAGCTCAGCTGAGGAAATAGAAGATATATATTCCTCCAGCAATGCGTGGGAGAATATGCATTTGTGTGTTTGTGATAATAGGACGAATACGAGGGAACTTCGAAATCTTGGTGCGTTTTACTACGTGAAGTGGTGTAATACTCCATGTGAAAAACGCGATATGAAGTGAATTAAAAATACTTGACGAATGACATCTGGCAGATCACCCCATGTCACGTGAAACACTCGCAGTATTTCGCGAAAAACTCCGAGCAATCAGCATCTTACACAATTTTTTTACGATGAAGATTGTATATTTCGGGAATTTTTTTCTCGGGAAAAAGGCACATGAAATGGCTTTTACTCGCAGATGTAAGTTTTTGCGAAAATCACATGGAGTAAATCATAATAAACACACTTATTGGAGTTTCACCCTAGTGATATGAAAAACAATAGTGAGAAATATATTTCACATTTTCTTCATATCGCGAGTATCGCGTTTTTGACCACTCCGCGTAAAATGGGTGAAACTTCAAAATTCCTTTGGTGCTATTTTGCATTTTTTTTCTCAGATGGCCGCTTCGGGAAAGTTTAAAAATCTTCTCTACAGTTCGGCATTTTACTTGGATCATCTCAACGAGTGAGTCGTGTCGAAGTCTTTATTGGAATTTTACCCTGGTGATATGAAAAACGCTAGTGAAAAACATATTTCATATTTCACTTGGCGAAAAACGCACATAAGCAGTGAATAACGCGTTAAACACGTGGTATGTGTTTTGTCCGGTGTACTTCGCTTCAAGTGTTTTCAATTCATCTCATATCGCGTTCTTCACATTACGCCACTTCACGTGAAATCGGTGAAATTCTATTATAATATTTCTTTCACTTTTTTCAGCGACTGGGCTAAGTTCTATGATGTGCCATTGACAAGAGATAAGGACGGCATTTTGAAAGGTGGCGAAGCTTGCATGTGGGGTAAGAAGTTATAATGGAGTTTCATCCGTTTTATGCGAAGTGGCGTGATACTCCATGTGAAAAACGCGATATTCGCGATATAGAGTGTTTTTACTGGTGTTCTCCATATCACTAGGGTGAAACCCATTTTAAATTTTCCGCATTCTTCGATCAGTCTTTCTCATGTAAATGTCATCACATTAGTAACATTTTCCCCATTGTTATCAATCTCTTGGGGAAACGTTATTCGAAAGTTACATGAGTTGGAATTTTATTTACCGTTTTTCTCTCCTCAGGAGAATCTGTTGATGATAGTGTGTTCATGCCAAGAGTATGGCCTCGAGCCGCCGCAGTTGCAGAGAGACTGTGGTGCGCTGACGAAAGGATATGTCCTTTTAAGCACGCCTGGGCTGTTAATAGGCTCGCGAGGTGGGGGGAAAGGAGAGTAGGATATTAAGTACAAAAATTATAGTGATATAGGATTAATTATCGCAATATTGGAGTTTCATCGTTTCACGCGAAGTGGAGTACAACTTGATGAAGAACGCGATATTCGCGGTGATATGCAGTAGTCTTGAAATATGTTTTTCACTGGTGTTTTTCGTATCACTAGGGTGAAACTTCAGTGATCTTGATTTTCCCATGTGATTTTTATGATATGATCTATTACGTGTTTTCTTCAGGACGAGATGTTTCCTCTCTGCCCAAGTGCTTGGGGAGAAAACTCCATCTGATATCTCGCCGATTGGGAATTATCAGGATATGACTAATCACGACAGTCTATACATGTGAGTTATATTGGAGTCTCCCAACCAGCTTCACGCGAAGTGGCGTAAAATTCGGTGAAAAACGCGATATTCGCGGTGATATGCAGTAGTCGCGAAATATGTTTTCCTCTTCACTAGGGTGAAACTCCATTATTATAGTGCCTGGAAATTTGATATGTAAATGTGCGTTATTTTTTGAGATTGATGAGAATCCATCTGATACTATATCGCATATACAATGGAGCTTCACCCTAGTGATATGAAAACATACTTCACAAACCACTGTATATCGCGAACATCGCGTTTTCCACTGAGTATTGAGCTACTTCACGTAAAACGAGTGAAACTCCAACGCAACAGTGGCTATGAACATTTGTTGTGATGGCGACAACTTGTTCACTATAATTTGTCTCCAAAATAACACACATTTGCATATCCAATGATACCAACTCTATGTGCGATTTGAACTTGGGAGTTCTGCGTGTGTTAGATTCCATTTGAATGATGATCAGTGGTGGTGTAAAGAATGGACGACGACAGCCGATAGTGAAATGGAATAATATTATCTTGGCCACATCGAATATTATTATTATTTGGAATTTTCATGTATTGATGTCCCCTCGAGGATAATCAAAGCATCTTTATTTGCTTATTTTTCTCGGTCTTTGTCGACTAAAGAGATTTTGTGGATCGTTGGGTGGCGTTGTAGTTGGAATTTCATCTCTGGGGGTATCGCGTTGGAGATAGTTGTTTTAGTCAGGGAGGATAATATTAGTAGTGTATTGAGGAAATCAGTATTATGGACAGAACCTGATGAGGTTGCAATGAGCGGTGAAGGAGTGCCAGATCCCTTACTTGTAACTGCGGGATCTCCAGATGACTCATTGGTTCCTTGTTGAGACTATTATGGGACTTCCTATCTCACATCATCCCCAGGTCGCAGTCGCATACCTGGTTGATCGCATGAAATTTTCCGTGACAAAATTTCCTTTCCGCGGAATCTTGACGCTTGCCCGCCCGAAGGACAGACCCTGCCTCGATAGGAGATCGATCGATGGAGGGAAGGGCCGTTCGATCGAGATGTTCAAGATGTTTCACTTCGGTACTGTTAGGAGAGGGAGATGATGTGCCGGGAAATTCTTGGACTGGAGTGTAGTCGTAAGGAGCCTTGCCGACCTTAGCAATAAAACTTGTAGGAGGCATAATGTTAAGAGGAAGCTCGATCTTCTTGGTAAGAAGTTCTTGCCAAATCTGTGCCGAAGGTTCTCCCGGTAGGACGCTAGATCATTAGCCTCGTTCTTTTGCTCCTGCCTGCGACGTTTGGCTGTACGCCAGGCCCTGGCCGCTTCAATCAGTGAGACTAGATGTAGTTTGAAGAATTGTTGTTGTTCAGCTGGGATGCGACCAGTCATACGTGTAATAGTTTCTTCACCGACATTGGCCAGCAGCATGATAGAATATATCTTTCCCTCAATCAGCTGGGTAACGGTTACCCGGTAACCATGAGATCTTTGATCCCCTGGTCAATGTTCTCACCATCTAGCAGACGATCTAATATATTCTTGGTAGTAGTCTCCGGCTGATCAGCCATAAGAAAAAAATGATGGAAACAAACCGTCCCTAGAGCCAATGCATGGATGAAGTGTAGTATACAAAAGCACGAAGGCTTCACATCTTAGATTCTAGCTTGATGTACTCAGTCGTGACGTACTCACTTTTGTTCATAGCGTCACACAGGCCAGGGGGACCGGATGATTGTGCCAGAGGAGTGCTTCGCACTCCCCGTAATCGTGGGGCTCCACTGAGACGCATTTCACGTCTGCTAATGGATTAACTCCGGTTGGCCTGTTGGCTGTTCGGTGTTTCGCCGCTATGAACTCAACCCATCTCCGTCAAGGTCTTAGTTGATTGGATAAGAAGACTGGTCTAAGGCCACTGGCCTTAGCTAGGCCCGCTCGGGCCTGTAGCGACACGGTTTCCTCCCCTGCAGGCTCTTCATTACAAGCTATCGACGACGGACTCGCATGCAACCCAACAGAGCTTTCCCTACTAGGACTCGTATCCATATTGGAGTTATAGTGACGGGCTAGACCAAAGATTGTGATACAAATAAAACCCCTGTACCCGTAAGATACTCGAAATGTATCGAGCTCCAAAAATACGGACTTCACAATTAACATCACAGATCAGAATTGAATATCGGACGCGTCACTAACATACCTTGTAGTTTCGTGAGTTCTTTACTATCTCCCAATGAGTTTGATGATGAGTATACGAAAGAGAAAAGTAGTTATGATCAATCACAAATCCTCGTCCGAATGAGTGACAACTATAGCAGAGCTGTCAGGCCTCAAGGAATCATTCTCACAGGGCCGCCCGAGCAGAATACGCGTGCTTATTGTCGTTGCACGCAAATACATTGAGTACGAGAATAGGGAAAGCAGATTGGCAAACCAGATCCCCATGAGTGATCATCCATACTAGTCTGCTAGTCTTGGATTCAAGGAAAGCTTCCTCCAGTGAGAGAGCTAGCTCAAGTTGTAGTGCGCGTAGGTGAAAGTCAGGTCGCCAGGGATATCTGAGGACAGAGACGTCTACGGTATCTAATCGATGGTAGAAACTTAAGAACTAACTCTCTGCTCCGTAACATATTCCCTCGTAAGTACTGTACGCTCTCGCCGAACGGGGGACTTACCTATAATCTTGATGAACTTCGTATTTTCGTAGAGACGAATAGCATGGTTGTTCGTTCGATCCACAAATAAGTAGACAGCGTCCCACTTCGGATAGTCTCCAGGAAGCTGAAAGGCAAATGAGCAATGGCTTGAGCTGCTATCTGATCAATGGCCTCATTTGAAACTCATTTGGGAGCAAGTCTTGCTAGCCTCACATCTCTGAACACCTGCGGCAAGAGTTTCGACCCGATTCCTTTGTTTCTCCAGGTTTCCGCCACGTATACCTGAAGACCCGGATGAATTACGGTCCGCCCGATAATGTTTTCCAGCTCACATTGTGGATATAACCAATGATTCCATCCGGTTTCTTCTTGCTCTGTGGTGGCCTGTAAGAGAAATGTTCGAAGGATCAAATTCATACCACCAGACCCCCTCAACGGTGAAGCTCTCCCAGGCGAAGACGACTCACCTTTTGGCATCGATTGCAGCCTCGACATCAGGGGGTGTGTTCTCCGAAGGGATCAGCATCCCTACCGCACCAATAACTTTCTGAGAAAAATATAGAGCCATCCCAATACAGCAGCGAGCTATTGATAGCCAATTAGTCTGTCATCAGCGCTGGCGGCACAGTGTGCCGGGCACACCGAAGTCGGTTGTTGAGTGGTGAAATTCATCAGTGTTGGTTCAAAATCACTGACTAGGTCATTCCGAACAGAATTCTTGTCTAATCAGAACGAGCAGAAAATGTCACAGCAATACAGGTGTTGCTTGGAAGAAGCTCGTGTGAGCTAATTACAGTACACGGCTCCCCCTCTCTAAAAATCGATTGAGGACCCGAGAATTGCCTGAGGCAATTTGCCTCACTCGATCGCCAATGGTTGCTGCGACCCAACAGCGGAAGAATGCACAGGCGAAGTCTGGTCCCATGAGGGACATGTCATCTCCTTTCTGGTATTTGCGATAAACCACATCGTTGAGTAAGCGCGAGCCATATCGCCTCGGTAGTGGTTCCGTTAAGAAGTATCCAGTAACCAGGCTAGGCAGCAAAGAGAGTAGGACCATCATTTCTAAATAGATATTATTCTAAGGATAAAAAACCTCTATCGGATAGAGTCTATCCTTCGAAGCCGCATCCCTTTGTTGAAGTCCCATAATTGATGACTTCTGTCAGAAGTTCATGATCTCCCTAGACTGAGCTAGATTATTCGTTCTATCGCACGCAAGCACGAAACACTCGGGACAGTCTGCTCCAAGGATAAGGCTCGGACGGTGGGCTTTACCCCGGGCTTAACTCGCGGAAATGCGGAGAAGAAGTACATGATTACGGTTCTCTGAGATAGACAATTGCGGGCCTCGAGCTCCGTAGGGAGGAAGCTCTATAGCATTTCTCTAAGGCCCAATTTTGAGCCAAAACCTGACCGTCATATTCACGTAGCGCGTGACACGCAAAACTTCGTGAGGGTTTTCAAGCGTCATAGAATATACCGAAACGAGCTCCAATCGCAAATTATCCTACTGGAGTTCGTGATCGAGTTCATGGAATCCCTAGTGAGCACATGAAGTACGATGCAGATGGAGCTCTATCCGATAGGGGTTTTTTCATCCTTAGATAAAAATATCGATCTAGAAATGATGCTCCTAATCTCTTTGCTGTCTTGCCTGGTCACTGAAGACTTCTTGATGGGACCACTACCGAGGCGATATGGTTTGCGCTTACTCAATCATGTGGTTAATCGCAAATACCAGAAAGGGGATGACATGTCCCTCGTGGCGACCAGTGGCGCCACAGAATTAAGCTGTGAATCCTACCGCTGTTGGGTCACAGCGACCAGTGGCGATCGAGTGAGGCCATTCTCGAGTTATCAATCGAATTCTAGGGAGGGGGAGTCGTGTACTCTAGTGAACTCACACGAGCCAAATCTGTATCGCTGTGACATTCTCTGTTCGTTCGAATCGGACAAGGATTCTGTTCGGGTGGACCTAGTCAATGATTTTGAACTAACACTGACGAATCTTTCCACTCGGGCGACCGTAGCTTACTGTAGCTGCGTGTTCTCCCTTTGAGTGTGAACGTGCGTCTTTTACGACTGGGAGCAGTTGCTCTTATGTTGTAATCTCGTTTGACTAGCACTTGGTCTATACGTAGTGGCCTCACTTTTGCGATTGAGTAGCAAATGATTTGCTGCAAATCCATTATGATTGTGATGTTGGGTTCCTAAGAACTCTACGTGCTGAGGATTCCGGCTGAGCCCCTACGTCTGGTCTCACGCTTCGACAGCTTTGCACCACCTCTCTACTACTCTTTTACCTTTCTACTCCCGACGCCGAGGTCATCTCACACTTTGCTAGTACTACATGGCAACCGCGCAGCACTCTTGTTATCGAACGTGCATTGTTTGTTCAGCGAGAATGGTATGTAAGTTATGTGTTAACTTTAGTTAAGCTACTCTTAGTTGATATTCGCAATATTCGCTCGCCGCTTGGCCCGAGGAGCTACCCAACCAGATGAGATGGTACAGTTGTCAACAACAACCTTAACTCAGGTTAGAGTTGTATTAATAACCTCAAACTCAGGGCTGAATAATCCACGAATAGACGGCTATGTTCACCATTATAGATTCGTTAGTCGTGTTGGTGGAGTTGTCAAGATCATCAATCAACATAACCATATGAGAGAAGTTACGCGTTTGTCAGCTGTAGCACCGGAATCATGACCTCTAGAACTCAACGACATAAGGGATTGGTGGGAATACAAACTTGAACCAGAAACTTAGTAGTACAGAGTTCTACAGCACTATAGCGTAGGGGCGCTAGAGAGACAGGTCAATAGCATCAGCTATGTGTACTATCACAGGAGATCGCCTAAACGGGGACAACACCTCACACCTTGTTCTTGCTCAATTGATCATTGCTTCAACTGCACCTTGTGCAGTTGACTTTTACGCTGCATGGGAGGAATTGCCGTGTTCTGTACATACAGGCATACCGGGGCTCACAATGCATAGAGACAGCTGCCCTGTCCTCGTTGGAGACATACACGTTCTTACAGTAGTTCGTAGTGACAGCTGACCTGTCTTCGCTGGAAGCATATTGGGGCTCACCAAGCTACATAAAGACAGCCGCCCTGTCCTCGCTGGAGGCGTACAGAGCCTATCGAAGCTGCATAGACGCGACTGTCCTGTCCTCGCTGGAGGCATACAGAGGCTCACAAGGCTGCATAACGACAGCTGCCCTGTCCTCGTTGGAGACTACACGTTCTTACAACAGTTCATAGTGACAGCTGCCCTGTCCTCGCTTGAGGCATACAGGGACTTACAATGCTGCATAGCCGCGGCTGCCCTGTCCTCGCTTGAGGCAAACACGGACTAACAAGGCTGCACAGCCGCGGCAAGGCGAGACGAAACCAGCGAGCGGCTCGTATTGCGGCGACCATGAGACGAAGGTTACCAACGAGCCCAAACAACGCGAAGTTCACAGTAGGATGCACAAAAGCGAGCAGGCCGGGGCTATGCTGACCCAGAGCAACGTATTCATGAGCTTCGCGACAAGCGAATATAAAATTTATAAGCCCTCTCTGCCCTCGGCTATTCTACGCTGGCAGCAGGCAGGGGGTCCGCTCGCCTCACGGATTTATTACCGCAGTACGAATTTTTAGCAGAGCGACGCGACCATCCGCAACTATATTCAACTTGGGTTGATAAGTTAAGCCTTATAACTTCGTTATGTCTCGTGGGAAGTGAACGTTGACTCGCCTGGCTCGAAATTCGGGTTGCAGCGTGAGTCTGACTCCGCTTACCATCTAGCATAGCGATTTGAATTAGTTTCTATCTCGTTGAGTAGTGAAATTGGTTTCTATTCCCTCGAATTTGGTTTGCGGTTTTCCACATCGTAGGAACTCGCCTTGTCTATTCGTTGCTGAATGGAAATGTGAGTCACCGGTATATAAGGTGGGATGTAACACATCATCATTACCCTGACTCAGGGTCCCTGAGTATGGCTTATGAGCTACTGAGCAGCTGCTGCTCCTCACAGAAGTTCATGGAATGGCGTATGAACTCCTAGGAGGTGAGCCTCCAGAAAGAATGACGATTGGAGAGCAACATATTAGAGCCATAATGAAGGACCCTGCAATCTGTCGTGAATTAAAAATCACTGAAGGAACAGCTCTAGATGTTCCAGTTTGGCGAGAGACAACGGAAGGAAAAATGTTGGCAAGTAAGAAGCTGATAGAGTCCCGAACGCCCCGCTTTGTGATGGAATTATTGAGCGCATTAATACCCTGGTTATGTGCGTTACCCACCATAGTAGAAGACTCAAGAGACTTACTAGCAGGACTCAATTACGTGAGCAGGCTAATAAGCTAGCTGATACCACTGACGACCGTGCCTTCATAATATGAAGGATATGAAGTTCATATCATACGACATAGAGGTGAGGATAAACCTGGTTAATCGAACGCGCTCTGTCGCGACTCGCGAGAGAGCAGAAAGTGGCATATCACAGAGCCATCGTCATTTGCCTCAGTGAAATTCCGGACTCTGAGGCCTACGCCAGAGTCGTCGCGGAGAGGAGTTCTGAATCGATACCGAGGGAAACGAATCGGGCACCACGGGATTCTGTCCGTACTATTATGAGGACTGTCCGGTTCCAGCTAGAAGAGAGTGTGAGTTCAAACCCCATCACCACAAGAATCATTTTGATGGGAAAGGCAAAGGCTTGCCCGGAATTGGGAGCAAAGATTAAGGGTTCGGAAAGGGTAAAGGTTTCTCGGAAGGGTACTATGGACAGAACTCCAATTTGGGTGGGTTTGGAAAAAAGGACCATCATGTCGCGGGGTGAATCACCTATAGGAATCAAGCGTGAAAATATTGAAAGTGATCTGGGTTACTTGAAACCTTGTTATTATTAACGGAGGAAGATGACGAGGCGTTGGCGGTCTAACGATGGGAGATATTTGTTTCTGAAAGAGTGATGGCTTTTTTTAATACAGTAAAATTCTCGCACCGTTTCGCCCTGCATAGTAAACACAACAGCTACTTAGTTTAGAACAGGGCAGAGTTTTCAGTCACTCAGTTGAGTGGTGTCCTTCTACGAGGGAGTTGGGTGAGACCGCGCCTGTCAGTGCATTAGCATCTGAAGGAAACGAGCTGGTGGCTTTGGTAGCTCGACTACAACGCCTCTTTGGGCTAGCCGCTACCAGCCTCCCCCGTAGGAAGGTTAAAAAAATGGTGGAAACAAACCGTGCCTACACCAATACATTAATAAAGTGTAGTAGACAAAGACAGAAAGACTTTACATCTTAGATTCTAGCTTGATGTACTCAATCGTGACGTACTCAGCCTTGTTTATAGCGTCACACAGACCAGGGGGACAGGATAGTTGTGTCAGAGGAGTGCTTCGCACTCTCCATAATTGTGGGGCTCCACTGAGACGCATTTTACGTCTGTTAATGGATTAACTCCGGCTATGCGGTGTTGTGTGATGCTATCGTCACACACGTATTGTTCGGAACCGAAGGCTAAGGGAAACTTTTGTGGGAAAAGCTGAGGAAAGGAAACGGATCCTTTGGG